AGTTGATCAGAAAAGCATCAAGAACAATTGGTAGTCACCTTAGTTTGCTTTGAATATCTGCACAAAACAAACGTTCTATAAAAAGACCATAGCCACCCACTGACATCGGAATTTCAATTATCGACACGCAGTAAATGATACATTTCCAAAAATGCAAAAACAGACAGCTATAGAAATTCATTCGTACCAACTGCAGTGAGTTTACTGAACACACAGTGCTGCAAATGAAACAGAGAAAGAGAGAGAGAGGGAGAGAGAGAGAGAGAGAGAGAGAGAGAGAGAGAGAGAGAGAGAGAGAGAGAGAGAGAGAGAGAGAGAGAGAGCGCACGTGAGACATTTACTTACTAATGTCCTGTCTTGTTGTGCGTATGCGTGAGTCTACTACCATTGTAAACGACCAAGACAAATTTCTTCCTGCGAAATGGTTAAAAATTGTCATTGTCATTGTCATTTTCATTACTATACTATAAGAAAACCGAGCCAGGAGTCCGTATCAGTACATCCCCCATTCCATCCCATCTGCCCCACTCCCCCTCCCCCCCACACACTCATAAACACAGACTGAGACACTTACACGAAAGTAAGCACATGGCACCAAAATATGCACAAAAGTGCAACCTGCTCATACACATGCGCACAATTTTGCTACCCGCAAAATCCTATACCCTAAACAGTGTTCAAACAAATAGTGTTTCGGTGTTAAATTGAGACACACACGCCTCAAATAACTATTTCTGGCTAAAACATGTGTCTGTAGGCAATATTTCACAAACGTTGCTGAGCACAACAGATTTAACGTAACTTCTTTTTGGTCTTTTTTTCCCCTCATTTTGTAATGTTACGAAAACCTACGATACAGTCTCAAGTCAAGAATGACGTAAGCATTGCATCGTGTCTCAGCTCCAGCCTCTTTATAACTGTATGTAACCTTTGACTCCTCTACGTATGCATTGCCGCTCTGGCGAACGAATGTGCTCGTTGCTAACGTAAACAAATATTCCGAGGACGTCTAGGTATCGGATGCCGGCGGCCCCCCGCCTACCTACGGTACATTATTTGTTTACCAAGCAGCTCAAGAGCACATTTTGGCCCATGGATTGTGTCGTGGTCGACCGTGTGAGTCCTTTCAGCCACTTGTATTATATTGTGGTAAAAAAAAAGAATGTATTTAAGCTGGAACACGAGAAATGTAATGTAAAGAAGTCGAAAGAGTCGAAAGTCAATTTTAGTGAAGGTACACCCCCCTCCCCACCCCCACCCCGACCCCTTGTTTCTGAACTTATTTGTTGTCGAATCACTGTCACATCTGGGTTCACTTCTCTTAGTACTGTCACATTGGAGTATTCAGGTCTTACTTGAAGTCGGAACACAATAAATATGTCACGACACGGTGGAATCAGGCACTTTTCAACTTTTGGTATCCGCTTAAACGTGTTTAATTGCCTTGCTCTTGATTTTTTTTAAAAATATCCTTCTATCTGGAATAAAGGTCGAGATATTTGCTATTAAAGGAGATGGGGGTCCCCAGGTTCGAAAGTAAAATTAGCGAGAAAATGGCAGCCAAAATTTGGTGACCTCTATAGCTTGAGTCCTTGAAAGCTGAAAATGTACAGTTTTTGTCCTTTTAGTCTACATTTTTCGGTAAAATACATAAAATGGACATAAAAGATGGTACGGCAAAAAAACAAAAATTCGTTGAAAATTGCCAAACCAGCATAAAAATGCTTGTTTCTTCGATTTCAGTATTTTGAGGAGCTCCCTATTTCACCACGATGCCTCACATGGTATAATGAAAAGAGGTATAGACGGAAGACAAGAAATGTACACGTACGTTTGACCTTTTGGGCTGCAATGGAAGTCAGAAAAGTCAAACGTAAATTTCGACCGAAGTACCCCCACCCCCCCCCCCCCC